GGGGACTGGCTGCTCGTTTGGGTGGGGGGGGGGCTTGGCGTGGGGCGACCCGGCCTGGCGCAGGGCTCCGTGGGCACGGAGAATCCTTGAGGAACATGGAGCGTTCCGAGTCCTGAGAACTCTGAGGGAGAGTCCGGGGTGTTCTGGGAGCTCTGTTGCACATGGAGAATACAGGAGGTTCCAGGGCTCTGGGGTCACAGAAAGCCCCATGGGCCCTGTAGAGCACGGGGGCCCTGGTGGGTCCCCAGGTCTCTGTGGGATATCAGGGTCCCACGGTGATGCTGCACTTCTAGAGCAGATGTTCAGACCTAGACACAATTCAGTTCTTCTGCTGCCCACCTCAGGGGTGGAGGCCAAGAGGATCAGCTCCCTTTCCTTCCTGAGAAATCCACTCTGGCCAACCCTTTTCTCCTGTGTCCACTGCTAAGGACAGTGTCCACCGAGGGGCTTTCTATTATTATTTTGTTATGCATGATTTTTCAGGCATGAAATTGGTCTAAGAGGATTACAGTCCATTATCATCAGCAGAAGTGTTTTGCTGGGATTTTCAATTACTATTCCAGTGCACCTCAGTAATGCCCATGTGGACCAGGCCATGCCAGTGGGGCATTTGACCCACAGCATGGTTTGCCTGGGTTGCCTCCTGTCTTAGGGCCAACAATGCAAGTGGGTGAGGCAGGTGCCCCTTCAGGCCCATTTCAGAGCCTCAGTGCTGTTTTTATCTCCACCTCTCAGAGAAGGCAGCCTTCCCTAACACAGAAAAACTTGTTCTATTGTTGAAGAGGGTGAAAAACCCATTATCTCCCCCCATCCACTCTGCACACTGCCTCTGCCGTGATTTACTGCGAGTCGTGGAGGATGTTTTGCTCTGTATTACACAGATGCAGCTTAATAGCATGGGGGAGGGAGAGGGACACAGAGTCCAGACTCCTGCCTTTTCTGTTTTCTTGTTGATATACTGTGTGACTCAAGGGAGACAGCTCTGTGCCGCAATTTCCTTTAGAAAATAGGGACATTGGTCACTTGGCCTGGTAAAACCTCTCTGAGATTCCTGGATGACCAGTTCTACAGAGGAAAGCAAACTATTACTACTACAGCTAATATGATAGTAATTATGATTATTAATCACCAGGCAGTCAGGATTTAAGGTTGGCCTCCTGCCCTCCTCTCATCCCATAAATCAGTCCAGGATGTTCATGGACACATCACGTGCAAAAGGATGTGTCTGACAGAAAGGGCACGTGACGGCTCAGAGCCCTTCTGATGGGGTCCCCAGAGTGGAGTGTGGGGGCACCAACACGGCTCTGGGCATGGGGCAGGGCACAGCCCTGGTCCCCCCAGACCTTCTGCCAGGGCTGGGGCTGTGCAATGACCCCAGAAAGGCTTTTCCTGCTCCAGGCATAGCAGTGAGGCCCCTTAGATCCTACTTTCTCCAACCAGGGTGTCTTGTTGCAGCACGTGGCTGGTGGAAGAGCCTCCCTTCCCAGCCCTCTTCCCCACACCACCCTTGCATATGGAGTTGAGTCATGTCATTGTCTTTCAGGTTATTATTCACTAAGCTCCAGGAGCTTCCCAGGGTACCCCTGGTTCTTCCAGTCCCCTCACAGCTCCCCAGTCCCCTCAGTGCATCCCTGTAGGGCCAGGTCATCTGTGCAGTTGCCAGTCCATGCCCTGCCTCTCTGCCCTCTTTGGAGGACTTTTGCCCAGACTTCTTTCAATTCCCTGGGTTTTAAGCATATGCTTGTAGTTAATCCCGTGCTTACATTTTATTCCAAATTGGAAAAATTGGGGTCTTTGGGCAAATTCTCCTGCTGTTCAAGTCAGCTGAAGGGCTCCCTGTAATTTAACTGAACAGTAATCCTCTCTGCCCTGCTCTCCTCCTCCTCCCTCACTCAGCTCTACTTCTCCCCCTTCCTCCTCCTCCTCTTCCTCCTCATTGAATGTTTTTGAGGTTTTACTCCTTTCCCCCTCTTTTTTTTCTTCCTTCCCACACCCTGGGGAACCAGTGGGAAACTACCTGGTTTCCAAGGGTAAAGAAGACCTGGGTGCTTCCCAAGGGTGTCCTCCCCCTCCCTGCTCCTGGGAGTGCAGGAATTCATAATCTGTGTGGGAAATTATCACCTGCTCAGTGAGGGGCTTCCCTGGGCAGGCACAGGCACAGGCACATTGGGAAAGGAGGCGCAGCCTTAATGGGGTGTGGATTTGGGGTGGGAGGTGTGGGATGGAGGGGATGGGAGCCCACTTGGATCCCAGCATGGCAGCTGTTGGCTGGCGCTTGCCAGGAGAAACGTTTGCCAACCGGGACGCGACATTTCTCCACATTTCTGTAATTAGAGCCACACTGCAAACACAGCTGGGAAGGGAGAGACAGGGCTTTCATGGTCCCCAAAGTTGCTTCCAGCCACCAGGACTGTCCCCAAACACTCTCGGGTGTCCTTCTGCCTGGCATGGCTTTGCCCTTCACTTTTGGAAGATGCTCCACAGATGTGACACGGGAAGGGAGGAACTGGGGCTGTAAATTTATTTTGCAGGTGGAAGGATGCTTCTTGTTCTGGCTCCTTTCTCTGCCTCATCAGTCCAAATACTGGCATATTTTTTCAGGATCCACACTGTTTGTTTGTTAAGTATAAAACAAAAACCCAAACCAAGGGTAAAATGTGCAGCCAAATTAAACCCTTATCAGCCTGGGCTTTCCCAGCCTTGGGAGACTGCAAATTTGGAAAGGACTCAGTGACATTAAACCAAGTCACAGACATTGTTTCCTGACAAAGCTACTTCCCACTTGTGGCAGGAAAAGCCACGGAGACTGCTCTGGGACGTGGCCCACTCAGTTCATGACATCTCTCTTGGCATCCTGCCTGTCCTCACTGCACAGCAGGGGAAACTGAGGCATGGGGCAGGCTCGTGACTCACCTGCCAGGAGGATGGATGGGGCCTGCAGGCTGCAATAACTCGTGATGCTGCAGGGAAGAGCAGGGAAAGGCAGGATGCAGCTGTGGGAAGGGGGTGCTGGCAGTGGCTGCAGCAGCTCTGTCTGACTGGACACTCCTGGGCAAGGGGGGATAGGAGCCAAGTGCCAAGTTCCCAGCACTTTTGATGTGGGACAATTCTCTCCCTGTCACCTGAGATGCCTCCCTGTCCCCCTTGGTAGGGAATTCTAGCTAAACCATGGGGCTGGGGGGAGTCTGAACTTGCTTAAGAGGGGAATATGGGGTCTTGTCTCTCGCCCCCAAATTCACCTTTACACCACTCAGCCCTGCCTGAACACCGGGGAGGGAAGAATGATGCTGACCAGAGCTCGCAGGGGCTGAAGCCAAGGGCAGGGATCTGCAGGGATGCAGCTTTCCCAGTCCCTACTGCAGCTCACTACATTCCTTCCACAATTGTGCTGTCCCCTGAGACTCCCCCAGTGCCACCTCGCCCCTCTCTTTTGCCCACGGTGGCCCCTTCTGATGGCCCCAGCTGCTGCTAAGCCGTGGCTGCGTATTTCCAGGCGCTCCTTGTCCCTGGGGAAGGGGAATGTGAGGAACGCAGCCCTGTGCACCCTGTCTGCTCCTGCCTGGCCACCCGTG